TTTTAACATAAAAATCTAAACCAGATACAGAAAAGCATAATTTCTAGAATGTAACTTGATGTACCTGGAATTGACATTGTATTACAAATGCTAGTTGCATTGTTTATCAGCACTAAAGGAATTACATAACTTTTAAGACTCCTCTTTGCCTAACTAATTGCTTTACTGTTTAAAGGAAACCAGAGATGAGACCTGACTGGTCTCTTCAGATTTTTATTTCTTTGTTAAAATGCTTTAAAATACATTTTATTTTCTTGATATTTGATCCATCTGCTAAGATAAAAGTAATACAGTAAAACTCCAGTTGTCCGGCATCCAGTGGTCCAGCACTCCTGCTAGTCCGGCACCACCTGGAACCCGGAAGTGCTCCAGGCAGCCGGACAATTGGAGCTGGTCTGCCCCGGGCTTCCCCAAGTCAGCCGCTGGTCAATTTCAGCAGCGGCTGACTTGGGGATGCGCGTAGCTCCCGTAGTGCTGTCCCCTCCATCCCCCTCATAGCCCCCCCTTCCGATAGTCCGGCATATTTGATAATCCAGCACCCCGAGTCCTAAAGGTGCCGGATTATCGGAAGTTTACTGTGCAAGTTTTCTTTGGTCAATCTATTGAAAGAATGTCAAGGTTTATGCTGTTTTATGTAAATATATCTGTATCTTGTACTGAAGTGTGACTTTTTTTCCAGTCAGTTTTGCAGCAGTAAACCTGAGGGTTTTCCTGCTTGGGGAGTTTTGCACCAGTGCTGACAGTGTCAGAAGCAACTTGCATTTATAAGTCATACTAGGACAAGTCATATTTTACATGGTGGTATCATGTGTCAGTATTATGAGTTTGTATCAATACATCTACATCAGTGTAGTTGCAGTGGTGCAAAAACCAAAATTTAACCCAGACAAGCCCTCACTGAATCACAAATGTCTACCTCTAGCATCCCACAGTAACTGTAGCTGGGAGCTCTCTGTTTTCCTACCGTGGAAGGCGGGTTATTACTTATTACTATGCTGTGCTAAATCTGAGCATTGGTTCTCTGCTGGTCTATGTGACTCTTACATGAAATAGTCTGCATTCAGCTTTCTTTATCTGTAAAAATAAATAAATACATTACCATGTAATAATTATTTAATGTATTATTCACTGAATATCAGAGATTAACTTCTGACCTGTGGACATTCCTAGTCTAGATTTAGTTGGTATTTGTTTCCACATTTGATTAAGTTTATGATGTTCTACATGTTTGTTTTTATATTTTGACTTTTGCTTACATATTTTAGCAGAATTTGTACATGAACTATTGTGTTTTAAGTTCCAGAATATTATTGGGATGGGATGGGGCATTCCATATGCTTTTTGAAGATATATGAATGTCATAATGGAGAGGTGCTTTTGGCAAGATGTCTCATGTAACATAACATTAGAGAGATTATAATCTACTGAATGTGATTGACCTATCTGTCAATGCCTGTACCATCATTTTTGTAGATTATTTCGATATTCCTAAATTGTGCATCTGTAATTGCATTTTCACTGTTCTGGGACACCTCTACTGATTACACATCAGGGCTGTGATGGCCTGTTAGCCAGGGAAAATGGAGCTACATGTGGCTTAGCCAGTGAAGTATGGCGATCGGGACCTTGTAGAGACATCTGACTCTGTCACTGGGTTCTGGAATCCATCTTAAACTCTATTTTTCCATGAGGAGCTAGGAAGAGATCAACCTTAAAGGACTCCCACCTTAAGCAAAGCCTATTAAAGGATGGGAATTGAGAGATTCTTGATAGTCAGTTTTCCCTGGCTACCCCAACCAAGATGACTGCTAGAAACAACGAAGACTTAACTGGGGGGGAAGATTGGTCCCAGACTGGAAGGCTTTTCAGTCTGTGAAAGAAGCTTATTAGAATATCTTTGAGGGAGAGAGATTACATGTAACCAGTTTATTAGTGTATTAAGTTCTGGTTTTGTGTTCTGTTTTGTTCTACTTTGTTCTCTGTGCTATCTCTTATGACCACTTAAATCCTACCTTTATACTTAATAAAATCACTTTTTAAAATTGGTTAAACCCAGAGTAAACAACTGTTTGGGGGGAGAGGGCAAGGTATCTGCATCCAATTTTCTCTCTCTCTCTCTCTCTCTCTCTCTCTTTATATATATATATACAGGCAGTCCCCGGGTTACGTACAAGATAGGGACTGTAGGTTTGTTCTTAAGTTGAATCTGTATGCAAGTCGGAACTGGCGTCCAGATTCAGCCGCTGCTGAAAC